GTTCACTATTAAAATAATTTTTAATGCCATCGCTATTTTAAAAAAAAATTAAAAAAAAAAATGTTTTTCAATTTTCGTTCATTTATTTTTTACATTATTAATGTAAATAATATTAATCGAATGTTAATAAAAAAATATATATCTCAAATTCAACACGATGAACACTGATTATGAAGAAATGCATATTTTAATTTTACTTTAAACTAAATGCATAAACATTTTTTCCATTTCATATTTGTCGGGAATTAGAAATGCAATCATCATAAATATATACTATTATAGAAAATAATTCTATACTCATTGACCGAAGAGTTTTGAGAACTTAAATTTTGATTTTTGAAATTAGATTCGTTAAAATGTTTTATTTAACAAGAACAGCACAAGGTCAACCTTGAGGTGAATTTTAAATAATGTGTCTTTAAAAATGTTGAATATGTGTTATTTTGTTGTCCCAAATTAAAAGAATTTTTTTTATTTATCAAAGTATTCGACTGGATAATAAAACTAAAATTCATAAATGTCTAAAAAATAAGATAAATATATTCGATTATCGTAAAATTGTAAATTAATTTTATAAATGAAATTATAAATAAATTATACATTTTTATTTTTTTAATTCAAGCAGTAAGAGGATTGATTTTGATTCAAAATACTTTTAAAATAGAAACTACAGCAGAATCAATAACACAAAGAATACATGATACTTTTTTTTAATACACGTGCCCATAAGTTTTATTAGTATTACCAATTACCTAGTAAAGACTTTGGAGAAAAAAGTAACGGTAATAAATTGAATATTTTTATTAAATTTAAAGAAGAGCTCCAAATGCTTGAGATTCAGGGATGGCTGTAAAAGCAATTTGTATCATTTTATGTTGAATACTTTGTTTAAGTTTGAGTTCTGTGATTTATAAAAAGTTATGCTCGAAAGATATGTTATTAATTTCATAAAGTATATTTTAAAATTTCATAAATTGTAAAAATTAAAATTATTTTATAAAAAAAACACAGTATCTGCTATCATTAATACAATAAAAGAAATATTTTCTATTATATATAGATAATAAGATTTTAAATAAAGGTATAAATAACAGAATGTTACCTTCTAAAAACAGCATATTATTTTCTACTACCTATAAGAAATACTATAAATATTGTTTATTTCATCTCAAGATTTATGACTTATTGTACGAGTTAATTTTATTTTCGATTTCCATCGCAATTACGTGTAAAATTTGTTTATTACTATATAATGTTTATAATTTGCTTAATATTATTAATCATAAGGCTTTATTTTTCGTTTAAATTGCAACTCATGATATTAAAAGAGTGACTTTAAAATAAATATTTTTATGCAGGTTCAAATATTTTCCAGAGTCGATGTAATGTTTAAAAAAAATATTAAGAGCTTTATTTATATTTTTTATCAATTAAATACAATAATGATATACTTTGGACATTATACAAAATAAATTTTTTTAATAAAAGTAATTCATTTTTTATTAAAATATAATTTTCATGTATAAAATTTTATTGAAATACAATGAATAACCAATATCATAATTCAAGAGTGGTGTTTGTAATAATTTCAAATTTTCTTTATAAATTATATAAAAATATGTACACCTGTTTACTTTTATTATATAATAGTAGTAATGCGGTGAATAATAATAATAATAATAATAATAATAATAATAATAATAATAATAATAATAATAATAATAATAATAATAATAATAATAATAATAATAATAACAATAATAATAATAACATTAACAATAATAATAATGATAATAACAACAACGATAATAACAACGATAGCAGCAACAACAACATATTAGTCGGACATAAGAACATGTTTTTAAAAAAAAATTTTAGTAATTTATCTATATTATCATCAATTATTCTATTAACAAATTTCCTAAAAGTTTTATAATATTCTGCTAGAAATTTATTTTAAATAATATAAAAGTAATAAAAAATATATAATAATTCAAATACTTATAAATTATTAAATACAATTTTAATAATTTTCGTGTATTTTAAATATATAAAAATTATAATATAAAGAGAGATTTTATTATAAAATTTCTTTTTCATTTAAATGATTTTAAATATTAATGTTTCATATATTATTAAGAATATTAATACAGTTTTAGATGAATAAATATAATTCATATAATCAACGTTGAATATCATATATGTATTTGTTATAATTATTTTTCCTTTAAATGCACTTAAAGTTACAAATGGTTTGATCGATAATAAATCATTTTAATATTTATATAAATATATAAAAATAAAATTTATAAATATCAGCACAACATTGTCCACAATTAGGACTATATAATTAAAGAACACTTTATAACTTACTGTAATAATATATTTCAATAAAATATTTAAATCTGTAATTACTTTATAGTCATGAAAAGTCCATGACTTATGTATAAATAAAATTTATTGAATATAAAATATATTAGAATTTCATAACAAATCTTATTCTGCTTTTAAAAATAATTACTTATTGTATCCACGAAAAAGCGTTTAATTAATATGTATTTGTATAGATTTTAGAATTTTGTCATATGCAGATATATTTTTAGAAAAGTAATGAATATTGTGTATATTAATTTATTATATATGTAAGTAGAAAGTTATACAAGTTTGTTTATACCCCTAAAATTAATTCTTCGAAAATTCATTTGAAATTTAATTGGAATTTTAATGGAAATTTCCAAATGACATCTTTTAATAGTGCAGTGATAGGTACTGGTAATTCGATATAATTAACAATACCTTTTAGACTAATTACCAGTATATTATCAATATACTTTTTTGTTGAGTGAATCTTATTTGCATTTCAATTGAATATCGATTGAAAATAGCTGATTTCGAAATAAAAAATATTCAAGAGGAAATTGATAAGGTGGAAGAGATGAAACATTGGTCATGAAATGTATAGTTACGCTCGACGAAATAGTAAAGAACTAGTAAAAAAAAAGAAAGTCCTCTGTCCTTTTATATAAGGAAGTTTATAATTATTTTTTTTATACGTGCTATTCATTAAAAATTGTGCGTTTTTAAATTCATTCCAATATGTTGATACGATTGTTTTTTAATCTAAAGTATTTGCATGTATTAATATTGATATGGATTTATTACCGACTTTACATAAACCTCGTTTATTACGTAAAGAAATTGTATGCTGAGCGTTTTGTGTAAAGTAAATTTATAAATCTACAGTATTCTCAAAATTCATGATTTGCCCATAAATGAAAACTTTACTACTTAATATTAGTCATAGTATCATTATTATGCGTTATCCTTATTATAAATAATATTTTATATTATAATTATAAAGTATATGTCACACTTATTTGTCAAAACGTCAATGCTGATAAATCATAATGAATGCCAAGAAAATTAAAGAAATAAATTAAGAATTAGTTTAATCAATCGACTTAATGAGATGAAATAAAAGTTGTTTAAATAAGAATTTTATGTTATGTTACAGTTTTATTTTATAATATTTATCTTGACGAAAGTAATAAAAATAAAATAAAGCAAAGAATTTTTAATTTATTCATAGTTATATCAATTATTAATAATTCGGTATCTTGTTGGAAGTTCACCTCATTCAGATTGTAAATGAAATAAATTCTGATTGTTTAATGTATAAGTTATTAAGTATATAAATATTAAGTTGCTTATATTCAAATGTCGGAAATAATAAGTTAATCCTCGCATTACTTCAATTTCCACTATAATAATAATTTTAACAAATGCAAATTTAAATATTAAAAAAATTTTAATGGCAACAGTAACCGTTTATACAAAATTTTACTCATTTTTATGCAAGTTACATATATCTCATTACTAAACTACAGTTATTATTATTGATAACATATAATTTTATGATTTTTTTTTCTTTTCATATATACTATATTTATCCAATAACATTATTGTTCATAATTTGTGTACGATAAACAAAAATGTGTAACAAAAAAAAAAAAAAAAAAAAATAGAAGAAATTTAGCATCTGGAAGATACAAAACGTAAATCATGTTATTTCATGGACTCGCCATTTTATTTTATCAACGGCTAAATTTGCTCAATAGACTTTAGAATTGATATCTTATTTATATAAAAAAGTTTTCGTTTAAAGTCAATATTTTAAACAGTCGCTACATAATAATAATGCAAGTGCTTATATATTAAGTATAGTTGGCACAATAAAATATTAATTTGATTTGATAGTGGATTCTTTATAAATTAAATGCAATAATGTTTCGTTTGTATAACTTTCCATTTAACTTAGAATATGATAAAACTATGATATGTCTAGTTTAATCGATTGTTCAATCGTTAATTTAATCATTATCATCCTGGCTTAGTTCAATAAGTAATTAACGCCTACGGCCGATTAATACTCCTGTATAAACGAAAATTACTTTTGCATTATTTTCAAGTAAATTTTTTATTTTTAAATCAGAGAATCAATATCGATGGTAATAAGGAGCGCTCATTAGAAAAGCTGTATCATCCAGCATTATCATTAGCGAAAAATGTTAAATCTGGGTGAAAAATCTGCCAGTCCGTGTTTTGTCTGTTCGCTTTGCATCTCAACAGAAGCATCAGCATGTGATCCGACTTGTGAGCACGCACAAGTGTGCAGAGGAAGTACCGTGAATTCACAATTCTATGAGAAAGCGAACTGTTAAATAACGGTATACGCAAAATTGCGTGGCTTAGAGTAGCATCGAGCCAAATTTTCCAACGACCGGAGCTTTCTAAACATGTTGAGCAATTGGTCAACGCGCAAGCGCTCTGATATTTCGAACCCGCCGCGAAAAGTGGCCTGATGCGCCCCGCTATTGATTTTCGACGCGCCGAGGGTGCAAAGGTCCGGGAAGGGAATGGGGAGGGGTTAAAGCCGCGTAGCAGCGCCAGCACTCCCAGACCCCTCGCCCAAGTGTGTTAAAACTGCTGTGGTGGCAGTGACGCGTCAACGTGTCGTTTCGTCTCCCGGGATTTGTGAGCGAATAACGCATCAGCATTTTGTATCGTACGCCCCGAAGAGAAGCCGAAGGAAGCCCCGAAGCGTCTTAAGGAAGCCAAAAGCGACACAAGGAAATACAGAAGTTGAAAGGACATAAATTCAGAGCGTCGAGCCTGAGGATGGATAGCTGGTTTCTTGGAGGTAAATTTCGATGCTCGCACTCTGCATCGATGCTCACTAAATCGATTGTCCTCGGATATGTCCCGACAGGAGGTCGCTAGTCCGTGTACAAGAGAAAACTACCTTTACCGGTGCCTTGGACTCACTTAACAAGCGCCAGAAGTCAAGTGCGAAATCCAGCAGAATGATTCGCTACATCTACAAAATCTTTCAAAACTTTTGGAACAATGAAAACCTCGAGGACTTTTCTAATCAAGGTATAGAGAGTGCATGTATGTGGGTGTTAGATGATGCGCGTGCGTGGGCGTATAGAGGGTGAATAGAAAGAGCTTAGGGATAGTATAATTATTTATTATTTCGTCTTATAATTACTATGCGATTATGACTTTGGAAACACGCATACCTCCGGCCAGTCGATGAGTTAATCGTTAATGTTCAGTAGGGGGTAAATCTGACGTACGAACACACATTTTGAAGTAAAGTGGATATGTTGTGCATACATGTGTGGCTACGTAGTCGTTTTATGGAGCGTCACGACAGTAATCATATTGTCGACTCGTGCATACGATCATCTTACGACGTGACTTCACAAGTATTGTTCGTCCAAGTGCAGCATTTAACGATAATAGAACATATGTTAAAATATAACAGAGAGCAATAAACATATGACGACTAGCTTTGCTATAAGTCAGTTCCTAAACTAATCTTAAACTAATATTTTGCTCACCTATATCCATTTTTTAAACGCTTCTTATATATGTGCATTGTCTTTATAATAACTGAAATGCTTGTATTTGCAATAACAGTTGCAAGTTTATTCATAAATATTGTCGAGTCAATGGCGTGCCAATCGTCAAAACTATAACTCAAAACAAAAAGGACTCATTTGTCCAAGGTCGCTCCTTTCTAGTTATTTAATTGATAGGCAGGGAACAACGATTTTATTGATGAGAGATTAATGTTGTTGAAGTTTTCAGTCACACACGTGCCTCGTAAGAAGATTCGAGTAATCACTGCTAACGCTGTTTACACAAACATTAATTAGTTACTAGTGCGAGTTAGGTGTGCATTAATAAACATTCAAGCTAATTATTTGATATGTATAGCAATTATAAAACATCCCTCATATTACATTAAGAATAAAAATCATTTCTGCAAGATAATATTGTAATGTTTATTTGACAATCATTTTGTAAATAACAATTTTCTTTTTCAGACAACATGGCTGCTGTTCAGCCATTGCTAGCTAATGGCATAGTTAACGGGATTGGAAAAGGAGAGAAGGTAAAATTTAAAAACAAGATGTAAATTTAAATTTTTCTATTTTTTCCAAGTTTATAATTTTCGTGTTAAGTTCGTGTAAAGTTCATAATAATCATAAAAGTTATTTTAAGATGTAATTATCTGATTAAGCAAGAATTAGCTCTAAGAGAAATGATTCTAAAATACATTTATGAATGCATTAATTTATGTATTAATTTACTATTGGTGCATGATTTTTAAATAAAAATGATTATCATTTTACATTTATGGATTTTCACACTTTTTTATTAATAGTATTTACGTTAAAATCGTTTAAAAAGAAGTAATGAAATATTTGTCGAATCATGTTCTGCAATGTAAAAACGTTTAAGATGATAAACCGATTATTTTATATTAAACAAAGAATTTATAATTAGAGATAATCATCATTGTGCCCATCTTCAAACGTATATTTAATGATTACAACTACTATGCGTTCAGTCTTTCAAACGAATAAAATCTTTAGGTATCGAATTATATTATTCCTCGATATGCTGTGGCTAGTACGACCGGATTAGAAGGTGAGTTTTTAAATTTTCAATCTTCAATAGTGTTTGATATTTAACAGTTCGATTTATATTTTTCTTATGTAAATGTTCAGTTTGTAAAATATTTCCTTTAAGTAACCGTTATTTTTTACTATCTGGTTGTTTACGAACTTAATTTAAATTTAAAATTTTCTTTTTAGCATCGTTGTTAAATGCATTAGTATAAACTTGTTATTTTATATATTGTATTATTAACCAATATTAGCGGTACTCTTATGGTATATAATTATTATATATAGTACGTGATATTTCTTGTATATGAATATTGCTTTGAATTGTTATTATTATTATTATTATTATTATTATTATTATTATTCATTTTAATTGCAATGAAAAGACAGTAAAAATATAAAATGTATTACTTCAAAACAATTAGTTAGTTGCATGAATACTTCGGAATTTTTGGAAAAACGATCTGGTCGTTTTTATGTAATGATATACTTATTTTGATTATCAATTTTTAATAAATACTATTTATTTGATATTTTCAATAAAATAATTATATAATAATATTAAGGAAATTTTATAACCGGAAATTATTTCAGGCCCCGATCAAATCTTAAGTTCCGATACGGATACGACTTGGGAAGCAAATGGTCGGGTTCGGATAAAATTAGATAATCAAGCTGACGAAAAATCTAAACCCATATCCGTTCCTGGACTTTTAATGAAAACTGCAAATAAATATCCTAATCATCCAGCTCTGATTTCGAGACCAGGTGTTGATGGAAAGAGATCGATACTAACGTATAAGTAATTATTGCTCCCTAAATTAATTTAAAAAATATCAATAATTTTTAATTTAAAAAAATCAATAATTTTTGCATTACTTGCAGACAGTATGAAAGTCAAGTAAGAATCGTAGCTAAAGCCTTTCTTCATTTAGGACTGGAAAGACATCATAGTGTTTGTATTCTTGGATTCAACACTCCTGAATGGTTCATATCTGACATTGCAGCAATTTATGCTGGGTAATTAATTAGTTTGCTTGAGATGTTAAATTTTTTATAAAATCAATGTGATACGAAATTTAATGAAAATACTTTTTATATTTTATTGTTATATTTACTTGCAAAAATTAGTAAAAATCGATCGATTGTATAGGATAGTATTTAAATATTCTTTACTATTTTATTAAACAGAGTAATTCATTGGATAAAATTAAAATTTTTAATTTATATTCTGAATATTTATATATAAACACATGGTCTACCTATGTATTTAATAAAAAATGTTTATAATTGTCACTTATTATTTTAAATTTAAATATGCAGGTATTTTAATATTTTTTGTCGATATAGATATTAATTTTTTTATTTAATTTCTTATCAAGCTTAGTTTGTGATTTAAATTTTTTTGCAGAGGATTTGCTGCAGGAATCTATACAACGAATTCGCCAGAAGCATGTCAATATTGTGCTGAAAGCAGTCGAGCTAATATTATAGTTGTTGAAGATGAAAAACAACTTGAAAAGATTTTACAAATTAAGAACAATCTTCCAAAATTAAAAGCCATAATACAATATGATGGGACTCCTACAGTCAAAGACGTACTAAGTGTATGTATTAATAAAATAATTGATTTGATTGAATAATAATAGTATAAGAATATTATTAAGCAATTTTATTTCAAACTGCAGTGGTACGATTTATTAGAAATAGGTAAAAAAGAGTCAGATGATAAGTTAGATAGTATTTTAAAAACGATTGGAATTAATGAATGCTGTACTCTTGTATACACGGTGAGTAATTTTATGATTTTTTATCATGATAATCAAGTCAAAATTTTGTTTACTAATTTAAATATAAAATTATGCAGTCAGGGACTATTGGCAATCCAAAAGCTGTAATGTTAAGTCATGATAATCTTCTTACTGATGCTAGAGGTATTTTAGCTACAGGAGATTTAAATACAGAAGCGCAAGAAATTGTAATCAGTTTTTTACCTTTATCACACGTTGCTGCACAGGTAATGATAAAATAAATTTTAAGTGTCTAACTTATTTAGCTCTAACATTTTCATTACTCAATTTTGTTTTGAAGGTCAATACCTTTCTGTTTACCTTTAGTTATATAACTATTTATTTATTTTGTCGAGTCTTAAAAAGTTTGAGTAACTAAGTGAGTAATGAAATCTATTCCTATAATGCGTATAAATTTTAGTAATATTATTATTATTATTATTATAGTTATTTATAACAATAACAGTATGTTGATTTACTTTTATAGGTTGTAGACATCTTCACTTGTATGCTAATGGCAGGTACAGTGTATTTTGCTGACAAAAATGCTTTAAAGGGTAGTTTATTAGATACTTTGATAACTGCGCGACCAACTGCTTTTTTGGGAGTTCCACGAGTATGGGAAAAAATTTATGAAAAAATGCAAGCTGTCGCCAGAAATAATGGATTTATTAAAACTTGGATTGCAAATTGGGCTAAGGCTCAGGGTTTAAAATATAATCTCAACCGCATGAATGGCATCGAGTATAAATCATGGAGTTATCTGTTAGCTAAGTGGTTTATTTTTCGCAAGGTCAAGGCAGCTTTGGGACTTGACAGATGTCATGTATTTGGAACAGCAGCCGCACCTCTTAGTACAGATGTTAAAAAATATTTTATGAGTCTAGATATGGTGATCATGGATGCTTATGGAATGTCTGAGTGTGCTGGTGCTCATTCTTTATGTACGAATAACAGTTTTCGTTTAGGAAGTGTTGGACATTCCCTACCAGGATTTCTCACAAAGGTTGATAATATTGATAACACAGGAGAAGGTGAAATTTGTATGGGGGGACGACATGTTTTTATGGGTTACTTGAATGATCCAGAAAAAATAAAGGAAACAAAAGACGATAACAATTGGTTGCACAGTGGAGATCTGGGCAAAATTGATGCTGATGGTTTTATTTATATAACAGGAAGAATTAAAGAGTTGGTTATTACAGCAGGTGGTGAAAATATTCCTCCAGTTCATATTGAACAATTAGTGAAAACAGAATGTCCAGCCTTAAGCAATGCCATGCTTATTGGAGATAGAAAAAAATATTTGACAATGTTAGTCACACTAAAGGTAGATTTAATTCTTATATAAAAATTTACATGACAGACTTAAATTACATATTTAATGACGTGTTATTTGTGTCAATAGACTGAAATGAATTTAGAAACTGGTGAACCTCTCGATATACTATCTCTAGATTCACGAAAATGGGCAAAGTCCTTAGGAAGCCAAGTAAAAACTTTATCTGAGGTATTGAGTACTCAGGATCCAATTGTAAGTAAACTAAAATTAAAAGTAATTATATTATAAATCTATAGTATGATAATAATGTTCCTTTTAATTAAAGATAAAACAAGGAATACAGGAAGCAATAAATCGAGCAAACGAAAAAGCGATAAGTAATGCTCAAAGAGTTCAAAAGTTCAAAATTTTACCCCATGATTTTTCATTACCAACTGGAGAACTGGGTCCAACGTTAAAACTTAAACGTAACGTTGTTCTGAAGAAATATGCAAATTTAATCGAGGAAATGTATAAAGAATAAGGGAAAATGTTAACTTTAGTCAAGAATATGTCTAGGAATCAGATTCCATGGCAATTTGAATTACACGTGAATGAATTCACTGATCTTAAGCATTTGTTCCAATACGCTATTCAAATGACAAGAATTTATTATTAAATTATTTTCTATCGCGACATGTTATACTTATACTTGTCGTGTTAAACAATTTACCCACTAAACAAATTACAAAACGTTAAATTGTGATATTTTATGAATGATTTGTTTAATAATTTAATTTTCTAGTATTAAAGAATATTTTTTTATAGTAATTTTAAACTAGAATAGCAAATACGAAATTCTGTATTTTTCAACAAAATGTTTACTTAATTTTTCTAAATTCTTATTAGTTATATCGCGATTTAACATACATAAGAATCTTATCAACGTTTGGCTCCATTTTGCTTTTTCTTTTAAACTGTTTTTTTTTCTTCAATTTTTTATTTTATTAAATACATTATGTATATTTCTATGGAAATACACTGTTTTTCTTCATACTTATGCACTATTCTTGCAATATATCTTAATGTCAATGCGATATTGAAACAATGGTGATGTGAAGTGCGGCATGTACATATTGTGAATATGAAAATAAAAAGTGCCTTTTTGCAACAGAAATAATTGTAACGTACATAGGATGCGTTGACGAATTTTTTTGTACTCATTGCATGACATTTTATTCATTTTACTACAAAAATAAAATTGTTTAAATTGATATAGTCACATATTTTGTTAAATAACAAGATGCTATAATGAATTTCTTATGTAATTTGTATTAGTTTCATTTAACTATATATGTTAAACATCTAGTATAATAACGTTATAAATAAGACTGACTAAGTGGATAATGGGGTTATAAAAATAAAATAAACATTAATGAAGGAAAGTAGTATAGAAAATTGTCCATAGTTATATATTTCTCTTATAATAGAGAGTAGATTTGAATATAAGTAATATATGAATTATGTAAAATAAAATTAATAGAATCTGGATAAAAGTAGTAGTTTCTACTTTTAAGTACAATGTTAAATGCATTCATTCTTTTAATTCAATATGACATTAAAATTATTGTGATTATGTACACTGAAAATGCTAGTACTTTAATGACAATAATATACTGTAAGTTGATTCAAACAATGCAGATTTAAAATCACTATATTTATTAAATAAATTCATCGCTATAATATGTTGTATTCATTGTTACAAAATCATTTTAATAAAACATAAGGTAAGAAATAAAAAATATTATAATTACAGTGTATTATTAAACATAGCTTATAATAACAAAAATTGATATTTATATATCACTTAATATTTGAAAAGTTAATTATTTTTTTTATTTTGAGTTTGTATGAAAATAGATTTCCTTAGTATATCCAAGCTAATTTAAAATGTGCACATGAATTATCTTATACATAATGTTTAAGTGATATTGTAAAATTTTTTTTTAAACAGCTAATATTAACACAGTGCTTGGTTTTTTTTTTTAATTTTATTTTTTAGTTTTATTACTTTCATAAGTCTATAATACAATGAACAATGATCTATTGCATATATTTGATTTGTTAAATTATTTTATGTTTGATTACAAGAAACTAACACAAAATAAAACTATATTTTATTTTTACTTTGCTTTTAAATGCTTAAATAAATTATACATAATATTTAGAATTATATTTAATGGAATAATTAATTATAAATTATCACTGAAATATAATAATTTATGCTGCTTTGTAATCATTGTTATTGCGTACGAATTAAGTAATTTAAGATTAACGTTAATGATGTAAAAGAATTAATTACGAACTATATTTCCATTCATCTATAGATAAAGAGAAATTATTAAGAATCAACAAATTTTATATTTCACACGATTCTTATATTTAGGCACGTAAATCTTTGATGACTTGGACCATTTACTAATGCAAGTACAGAAAAAAGGTAGAATAAATAAAGGATTTTACGAAGTACTCGTCGAAGTATTAAATTTTTGCTGTATAATCGATGTTTTTCGTTGTGGCACAGTTTCAGGTGTTGGTATGGCATCGCCTGTTGGCAAAACTCCAGTTGGCTTAGGCTTTGCTGTTGATTTTTGTTTGGCCATTTGATAATCACCAGAATCAAAAAATTTTTGCTACAACGTTTACAATTTTAATACATTAATTAGTATTATTACAATTAGTTGACAATGTTTTGTAATGCCTAAATAATAAACTAACAAGACTTTTAAAAATAAATAAATGCATCTAAGCAATACCTTAGATCAAAATTATTTAAAAATTTATTGTGAAGCTTTTATAAAATATCTTATTCTTTACTATATTACAATTAATAAGCTTATAATACAGTGGTAAATAAATTAATAGAGAGAGAAAAACTTACTCCTTTAGCTAGCCTTTTTTGTAAAAATGCAGAGTGTCCAATTATGGGTCTACCTTCTACAGATGGAAATTTGGCTTTAAGCTTAGCTTCCTCTAATTTCTCAATATCGTTAGCCATAGTCTAACAATATATAATTAACGATAATGATAATAATGATAATAATGATAATAATGATAATAATAATAATAATAACTATAATAATAAGATAAAATTACAGTACGAATAATATATTAATATAATAAATATTCTACAAATATTCCATACCTTTGTGGTTTGAGTTGATTCCTTATTAACTTCGTCACTCATATTGGTTTATTCTTCACTTTATTTTGAATAAATTATATTCTAATCCAGTTCGTTATGTACGGATTTATAATCACCTTTCAGTAGGTGAAAACAAACGAAGCATGGAAAGTAATTTCACAAACGTTTGTCTATATTGATATGTCTATTGTAGATATACCTGTTTTATCCTTGACCGATGACGGGAACAAGTCTTTTACGGCCAGATCGTAACCTCAAATTCACTTCTTAATTTAATGTTTTAACGTTGTTCATAGTTGTAATTCTCATTGAGAAATATGAATTCGTTTGAAAATACCGTTTTACTTCTTGTATTTGCAATTATATATAGTTTTGCATGCATGAAGTGAATGTACAAAAATCCGTAATAATAATTTCGAAACGACAAATGGTAATGGCAAAAATTTTATTGGTAAAGGCGCCAAATAAAATATAAATTCCGTATAGTACAGTTACAAAGTATAGATTATAAAATACAATTGCATGGAAACTATGGCTATACAGTAGACTCCACTGAACTGACAGCTAAATTAATTTATCGTTTAAAATTCATCTTTGGGCTTCGATATTGCCTCTATTTCTCAATATTACCAACCTAAAATTGGCGCGAACGCTAATCTTATAGTTTAGGTTTAAAGCTAATTAAACTTTAATATAGTTCAATACAGTATCTCAGTTTAAAATTATAATTTAAAAAATTAATTGCTTATAATATTATACAATATTTATAATATAAACAAGAAATTAACTTATTACTATATTATTTATATTAGCTATATAGAAAAAGTATTTATAGTAGTTTTATAGAAAAAATTATTTTAATACGTTTAAATTAATTCTTCTTGTAAATGATTATAACAGTTAATAGTATACGATAGGGTAAAATATAAATCACTTAATAACTAATAAATTATAAAAAAAAATTATATAACAATAAACTTTTTATAAATTAGTTTAATATATTTGCATGTTTACATATTAAACAATCAGCTATAAAAAAAATGTGTGCACAAAAACAATGTGAAGAAGAACAATGCATATGCGTACAATTTTTATATTTTGTAAAATAGAATTCAATTATTTGTAAATGCAATGTAACTAGTTATTATCAAAGAATGTAAGAAAAATTTACGTTTAAACACTTTCACGATATTTCGTTAAATAAATACTTGAATGTATATGTATGTCCATTTTTTATGCAAATATATAATGATTACAAATCGAATATCATTATGCATATTCAAATATATAGTTGTGATTTCGTCATTATAATATAGAAATATGAAATTAACAATTTAATTTAATATATGCATTTCGTGTACTAAATTTATAAACGTGCATTCTGAAGTATATATTGATAAAACAAACCTAAAAGGTTAAAATAAAATAATTATAAACTTGAAAATCAAGTACATTTAACCGAACACGTAAGTACAATATAGTTTGTACAATATTATACAGATGACACTGCAGTCAACTTCTAATCAGTTTTAATTTTCTGATATCCCAATTTCTTTTTAATTCGGATTCATTTATAGAAATTGGTTTTTAATGATAGTTATAAGTTAAAGTCGACAATATTAAGATTTTATGCGAGTGTAATAAAAAATTTAGTTTATAAAAATTCTAATGTATTTTTCAAACAAATTTTTTAAAAATTAACGAAAAAAATTCTTTGATATATTTTTAGTATTGGAAATTACTGGTTGTATAAATTCGTGCTTAATCAATTGTTTTACATGATTGTTTTTTTCTTATGAGTGTCCAATTAAATTTAAAAAAACGATGCATTTACTTATTATAAAAAGTAAATAAATATAATTAAATAAATTCGAATGACTTTTGTTATTTTAAAAATTAATTATTTTCGTGTATAAAAGAATTATTCGAGGATAATCTTGTTTATTTATCAATTAAACCTAAAACAGCATACTAACTTAATCCGCATAATTTTTTTTTCTCAATATACGTACATTTAATGATAATATGAAAGTATTAACGAAGTTTTTAAATATTACTGATAAATTTCTGAAGAATAGGAATAAATGAATGTGATAAATATACATATAGATTACTTTAGCTGAAAGACAATATTGTTTGTCAAGAAGTTAGTATTTTATAAGTGGCTATGGAAGACAATAACTTAAAATTATAATTTCTATGTCTACGCCGATATTACATAAAATTTTAATATTTAGATGTTCACATAGTTGCATTTTTATATTAGATATGTAAATATTAATTTTGCATTTTCGCATACATTTATTTATGCATATAATTTTAAATTTATAATATTGCAATGATAATTATAAATAGTTCCTTGTTATGTAAAAATGACCAACTTTAAAAAAATTTTCTTTAATCTTCTTTTTGTTTCTTATAGTTTAAGAAAATGTAAACAATAAAAAATGCGTGTGATTAATTTTATAATGAAATAATTAATAGTATTCTACGTTTATCGTGGATAAAGCGGAGAGAAGAATTTATTTGAGTAGTTTAGAGATTTTAAATCTCGTTCCATAGGTGTGTTTCTGGTTTTCCCTGTATCGGAATCGTACGACACCACTCTTTCATGAAACTTACTTTAAATTGTTATTTAATGCATTTTTTAACATACTTCTTTAAATATAAATTAGACAAATAATAACTTTTCTTTAAAATAATTTTAAATCAACTTGATTAGTTAAATCAGTCGGAAATTATTTATTAAACATTTATTACAAACTTGTGAACTTAAAATAATGAATTATTAAATTCGAAATTAGTGTGTGTGTGTCAGTACATGGGCCCGCGAGGGCATGCATATGTGCGTGCTTGAGTGCACTTATATATGAGAGCAAACATATTTCATTTTGATATTAAACAATAATTTATTGTCGCATTCAATCATAATTTGGTACAAACAATCGTATGCGCGGATTAGGAAACCAACCTATGCCCAGTCTTGCAGCGAAAACTACAATGATACAATATTCTTGATCGATTGGCCATTTATAATTTGTTTTTAACTGCCTTAAAAATAAGATTTGAAAATATATTTCCAATTGTTGAATGTGAAATAATATGAATTAGAAGTATAAAAAAATTGTATGTACATTACATTAATCTGCACGATCATAAAATTCAAGTATTCACGATATACTGTTGATTACATTCGTAGTAGATATAATGTTAGATAATTAATCATGTGAGTTCTTCGATTGCTATCATTAAATATTTGACTTTGTATGTTGTATAAAGAGATAAAAAAAATTAATTTACCATATAATGTGAATTAATATTATTAAGAACAATAAATAAAACTTGTTCTTTGATATTTGATTTTAATTTTATTATTTATTGAATCTTAATTTTTCAGTAATTATAGATACATTTATATTATACACATAAAAGTAAAATGTGGAATAGATAATAAATATATCAAGTAAGTTTACAATTAGATCGGTTGAAAATGTAACGAAGCATCTTCTGATCTAATGAACAATAAAAATTGTTCGTATACTAACGAATGCTATAATTTTTGTCAATAATTTAAGCAGAAACGCCAGTGAGTTTTTGGATTTTTCATAGTATCTTCCAATTTTATATTATAGGTTTGATAATAGCTGTAATTATATATAAATTAATCTCATAATAAACAAGTTTAAGAAGATACATCTATCAAAATAATGATTATATTGATGCAATTGAGAATTTTTCATATACATTTTTTAGATTAAAATTTCATAAATTTCATAAAAAATTCAAACAGAAGATTAGAAAAATGACACTAACAATTTGTAAAATAATATGAAATGTGCACTGAAAATTTTATTATATATTTGCATATCTTTTATTATAAAAAGTGTATATCAAAAAATATGATGAAATCGTGTAATACAATATTTTTTTTCACAATTTCATCTGTATTACAGCTAAATAGATAATTTTATTCATTCAAACAATTTCTTCTTTGTATTATATGTATAATTTTTATTATCTGTAATTATTAATTCTCTCAGTTTGATAATATTGTAGTTAATAATATTAAACATCTAAACATATAGGAATGGCAAATTAACAAAAAGTGCTTTATACGTATAGAAAATTAATACCATCAATCGATTAAAGATATTTTGGCTAATTTTATTTTATGCTAATTTTAGAGCTAATTTTGTAAAGCAAATAGAGGTTACTGTTGTTTTTGGTAAAAAATTTTACTAGTAAAGTATAGATTGAGAAATTGAAATTCAAAGTGCAGAAGAATTTATAATCGCTTGACTATTTCGAGTGGTGATGATTAAACGGGGCTGAAAATTTTATTAGACAATAGACGAGCGACAAGAGCTAATAGAATGCCTGGCGTTATTTAATTGCGTCAAGTAGAGTAACTCAATGTGAAAACATAAACTTAAACTTAATCATAAACTCGATTATCGGTAATTACGAGAATACAAAAATATTTGAGTACACGACGATGTGATATTCAAAATAATGAACGTTACTGCTTTCGCAAAATTAGTAAGTAACTTTTTCAATGAGTAATTTTTGCGTTGAATGCAAACCTTCGCTATAAAATGTGGCCGAGGATCTTATTATGTTCCAAAGGAAAGAGATGGTGGCATTGCCAGGTGGCAAAAAAGCAGGTGAGGAAGATGAAGTCTCTCTTCATTACCTTCTTTTCTCGGCGAAACAAGGACTGAGTTAGAAGGGTGACCGAATTAACCGGGTAGTGGGGAGCTGTTTTGACATCATACGTTGCTGTATATCTTGCCCCTTTAAAGCTTTTTAGTAAGCTCTAGTAACAGAAGCAAAAGTTCAATGTCGATTGCGCCCTCGTGC